ATGAGAGCCTTTGTGTGAGAGCCTTTGTGTGAGAGCCTTCTGTGAGAGCCTTCTGTGAGAGCCTTTGTGTGAGAGCCTTCTGTGAGAGCCATGCTGCACAGATATTCAGTCCTCAGTATATTGAGCCCCACCGTTCAAACAGGTTGCCTGTAGGCTTTAGGATAGTTAGTCATTGCTGGAATTGTACCTTTTTTTAATTGACTTGTCGTCAAAGCACCAGATCAATTAAAAACTGTGACGCTCCTTTGCCAGTACCATGATGCCATTCCTGTTATATTCTGTATATTTTTGTTTGGCAACAAAGGACACAATACCTCTCCACATACACGCACACTCACACACGCATACACACGCAGTGCGGGTAGCAGCCGCTTCCGCTTTCTTAGCTGCATCATGCCGCTTCGTGTCTCCCTGTGTAGAGAGCAGCCACTGTATGACGATCCCCACTGACCCCCCCCCCATCTTTCCCACAGGAGAAGAGGAGAGGAAGTACAGGAACAACCGGCAGCTCAAATTCTAAAATTCCATTCACCCCTCTCCAGAAAGACCATAATCCCCTACCCACCCCCCACCCCCTGCCCCCGCTAAAAGCTTCACATGTTCAGCCACCACTAGACAACTGAATAGGGCTTGTGTGTCTGTCTGTCTGTGTGCATCTGTGTCTTTCTGTGGCTGTGAGTGTGTGTGTGTGTGTTTGTCTGTGTGTGTGTGACTGTGTGTGTCTCCCACTGTCTGTGTGTGTGACTGTGTGTGTCTCTCACTGTCTGTGTGTGTGACTGTGTGTGTCTCTCACTCCCACTGTCTGTGTGTGTGTGTCTCTCACTCCCACTGTCTGTGTATGTGACTGCGTGTGTCTCTCGTTCTGTCCTTGTGGCTGTGTGTGTGTCTCTCTCTCTCTCTCTGTCACTCTGTCTGTGTGTGTGTATCTCTCTCTCTCTGTCTCTCGTTCTCTCTGTGTGTGTGTCTCTCTCTTTGCCTGTGTGTGTGTGTCTGTAAGTGTCACTGTGTGTGTATGCATGTCCACCTTCACTGATGAGTTTCTCCTGAGCACTGCCCCCCCCCCCCATAGAGACCCCTGTATGTGGGGTGGGGGCACCCTCAGCCCGCGTTGTTCCCCAGTGTGGTGGCACCCGGCCGCTCACCGCTTTCTGCGGCAGGTTTAAGCCAGATAAGATCTAAACCAAAAAGCCAGTGTGATGCCCAGAGTCTGTGGGCTCTTCCTGCGCCTCTGGGCACCGTTAAGGTGGACCTGCTCTGAGCAGCATCGCCACACTGGGACCTTCGCTTGCTAAGGACTTAGAGATCACCATAAAAACCCGGAGGGGCTTCAGCGCTCTGTTTGAATGTAAGAGTGGGTGGGAAGAGGGTGGCGAGCGCCTTCTGATCTGGCTGTCAAACCAGAATCTGCTTGGCGCAATCGATTAGGGCCCCCTCCGATAACCTCTGGCCCCGTCAGCTGTAGATAAGAGCGCCGTCGAGCCCGATATTCCATTAGAGCCAGCTCTATGACCCAGCCCCCCCCCCCAAGCATGCTGGGTAGAACAACACTATACAGGGGCTGCTGGTGAGCATCAGTCGCGGGGGTGGGGGGTGGCACCTTGGAACATGGCTGCTCTGAGCTCCAACAGGCGGCTGGATGTTCCCCAGAAGAGGGGCCCCTGTGGAGGCCGGCTGCCCCCTCCAGCCGGCCCACCCCTCTCTTTTTTCACTCCTCTTTGTGCAAAGCGCTGGGGGGCCCTGAGCACGGCTTCCTGGCTTTGCTTCCGGAATGTAGTCCATGTGATGCCTTCTCCATCTTTCCAGTGGAAACGACATCATCACCTTCTCCAGCTTTCCAGTGGAAACAATATCATCAGATCCCGATATATGTGCACATAATTAAAGGAGTGAAGACTCCGCCCCCTTGCCCCGCCCCTCCCGCACGATTCAGGTTAAGTCACTCAAGTCTCCTCCAAATGCAGTACAGTCCATTCTGTTTATTTGTTTTTTTTTTACTGCTGTATTTAAATGCTTTTAAATGCATTAACGTGGGTATTGTTAAAGTGCGTGTGTGTGTGTATATAATCCATATATATATACACATCTGACTGAATGAGCCCTGGAGGTTTCTTTTTCTGGTATTTTTAATGTTATATTTGTAATGTTTTTTGCCTTAGTCGGGTGCTGCTTGCGCTTGCAACCTGTGCCACTGTGTTAGCGGAAGCAAGGTGGCGCCACGTGACCGAAGCCCCTGGTGATGTCGTTCAGAGGGCTTGACGGAAATGCCTCGACAGGCCAGGTGTTGAGAATGACATCTCTGAATAACAATAATTGGTTTCTGACCTTAAAGTAAGAACACGGGAAGGAAGGCAGCTCCAGGTCACGGCTTAGGTTGCGATTCTTGATGGCAGAGCCCCTGCTGCAGCTAATCCGGTGACGAAAGGCGATGCGTGTCGTGGTGAGCCTGCACGTGCTGGGAGGCGCCTGGGCTGCTGGGCTGCTCGAAATGTGCCTGAAGCTTGGAATTGTACAGCTTTCAGATTTACTACTGAACTCTCCGATTCTGTACAGAAAAAAGGATTGCATGGAACCTTGTTACTGTAATTAATAACCTATACAGTATATAATATTTAATTTTTTAATAACTAACTTACAAACGGTGAAAGAACTGAATGAAACAGTTTTATTTTTCTTCAAGCACATGGCATATAGGGATGTAATTTTGTAGAAGGGTTGGTTACTCATCGTTATTGCTTCTGTTTTTAAAGTTGTTTGGGTTTGTGTCTAATTTTAGGGGAGGAAAATGTGTATAGTAATAATAGTAATAATAAATAAACATAAAAATAATAGCAATTTGGTTTGGCAATGAGATAGTTCTGGGGAATTGTCTGGCTAACGCATTGATGAATTGTGGGGAATGAAGATGTGCTTTTTTTTTGGGAGGTCTGGTCACCAGTCTTTAGCTGGGTGTCCTTGTCACCTTGGTTTGTCACCCGCTAACGGTGGCATCTGGTCACAGATATGGTACGCTTCTGAGTCGATGCTGTAAAGCATAACCACAGCCCCGAGATCTCGAGTGACCCCCCCCCGTCCCACCTCCGTTACTGGCTTTGATTACAGTGTGGGACAATAAAAGATTCTCTCCATTGCCTTGTTAATATTAATTGTGGACACAATTTTATATATGAAGAACATTAAAAATAAAAATTATTTATCTTGTTATTTATACAGAGCCTGCGTTTCTTTTTTCCCACAAATGCCCATATATCATTTGAGAATGATGTTTTTGGTTTGTCCATCCATCCATCTGCACTAACAGCTCATACATTAGTGGTGTGGTCATTTTACATGTAAATGACAATAGCGGGACAGTGTGGCCCTGTGATCTATTGTACCTTCTTCATTTTTGGGGAAAATCCTCTATCCTGCAAAATAACTACGATATGTTGGAAAATTCAGGATTTAAAGGTGTTACACAGCCATGGTTGAATTAAATGTTTATTGTAACAGATAAACAAAAGGCCCCAGGATACTGATTACTATATCAAATTAGTTTTATGTGTGATGTTAGCTTGTTTAAAATAAATATCTTACATTCTGTACCTTAAATCAATTAAATATACGCCATGTGGCCAAAAGTATTGGGACACTTGACTGTTACACCTACAGGAACTTTCATGACATCCCATTCTAAATCCATAGGCATCAGTATGGACTTGGTCCCCCCATCGCAGCTATAACAGCTGCCACTCTTCTGCGAAGGCTTTCCACAAGATTTTGAAGGGTGTCTGTGGGAATTTTGGATCATTCATCCAGAAGAACATTTCTGAGGTCAGGCACTGATGTTGGACGTGAAGACCCAGCTTGCAATTTCTGTTCTAGTTCATCACAAAGATGTTCGAAGGGGAGGTGGGCAGGGACCCGTGTGGGCCAGTCAAGTTCCTCGACAAAAAACTCACCCTAACATGTCTTCATTTGGTTTTTGCACTGGGGCACAGTCATGCTGGAACAGAGAAGGGTCTGGAAGCATAGAATTGTGCAATATGTCTCGGTATGCTGAAGCATTAAGATTCCCATCACTGCTACTAAGCAGCCTATTCCAACTCCTGAAAAACAATCCCATACCATTATCCCTCCACCGAACTTTACAGTTGGCACAGTGCAGTGAGGCAGGTAACGTCCTCCTGGCAACTGCCAAACCCAGATTCATCCATCAGACTGCCAGACAGGGAAGACGTTTCCAAAGAACATGCTTACACTGCTTCAGAGTCCAGTGGCAGTGTGCTTTACACCACTCCATCCGACACGTGGCACTGCACTTGGTGATGTGAGGCCTGCATTCAGCTGCTCAGCCAAGGAAGCCCATTCCATGAAGCTCATGGCACGTCGTTGTTATGCTGGGGTTAATGCCAGAGGAAGTTTGGAGCTCTACAGTTATTGAGTCAGCAGATCATTGGCGACTTTGCCTCAGCACTCACTGACCTCCCTGTTACTTTACGTGGTCTGACACTTCATGGCTGAGTTTCTAATATTACCAAATGCTTCCACTTACAGTTGAGCATGGAATTTGTAGCAGAAATTTCATGAACTGAATTTTTGCAAAGGTGGCATCCTGTGGCAGCACCACACTGAGCTCTTCAGAACCACCCATTCTTTCGCAAATTGGTAAACCTGACTGCATGGCCGGGTGCTTATATACATCTGGCTATGGGTTTGAATGAAATACCTGAACTCAATGATTAAGAGGTGTGTCCCAAGACTTTTGGCCATATAGTATCTGTGTGTGTGTGTGTGTGTGTGTTATCCTCCTGAGACCCCACCCATTCATTTATGTCCATTGCAGTGGACATTTTGTTTTTGCATCTATCTTTTCACTGATGTAAGGAAACATATTTATTCCTGTTGTACACTAAAGAGGACATGCTGTGAAATTAAAAATAAATTTGAGAAAAACTAAATTGTAAGATGTCTTATTTCCTCCAAAGACAAATATATATATATATATATATATATATATATACACACACACACACACACACACACACACACACACTGTTAAACAGTTTATGATTACTTTAAGAATGTCCAACCATTTATTCTGGATGGGAGGCGGGAGCTGGAGCCTCCCCCACCCTGGACAGAATACCAGTTCATCACAGAGTGGGGGACACCCTGGAGGAGATGCCAGTTCACCCACACACACACACACACACACACTACAGGGAATTTAGAGTCGCTAGTCCACCTAATAGCATATCTATAGCTAGTGCTACTCACTAAGACACCATGAACATAACAAGGAATACTTGAATTTAGTATTATTTTCCAGTGTGAATGTGCGCTTTTCTAACTATAATTTGGGTATGAAGCGCGGCCAGCAGAGGGAGCTGTAGCCTGTTGGAGGTTGCATTTTCTTGACTTATCTTAACTTGAATTATATATATATATATATTTCCTTGGGTCTCAGGAGGATATATATACACACACACATACATATTTCTACCGTTTGAAAGTGAAACTGATTAGATGCTCTTCAATAAATGAAAAGCGGTTTTGCTTGTAAATATGAGAATCCTATCGTTGACATATTTGCGATGAAAACAGTGGCAGGTTGCTGTGTGAAGTGGCACTTTTTAGCCGGTAGATGGCGTTCTTCACCCTGGAATAAGATACCACAGGCGTCGGTGTAGCCGAGGAAATGCTGTCATTAGGTGGAAGCGTCAAGCGGATTTTGAGTCCAGGAGCCCTGGACCAGCAGGATGGTGTCATGCTCGAATGCGTCCATGTACGA